TTCTTTGTCTCTTTTGATCTTTGTTGGTTTAAAGTCTGTTTTATCAGAGACTAGGATTGTAACCCCTGCTGTTTTTTGTTTTCCATTTGCTTGGTAGATCTTCCTCCATCCCTTTATCTTGAGCCTATGCGTGTCTGTGCATATGAGATGGGTCTCTTGAATACAGCACACTGATGGGTCTTATCTCTTTATCCAATATGTCATTCTATGTCTTTTAATTGGAGCATTTAGTCCATTTACATTTAAGGTTAATATTGTTATGTGTGAATTTGATCCGACATTATGATGTTAGCTGGTTATTTTGCTTGTCAGTTGATGCGGTTTCATGTTAGCATCAATGGTCTTTACAATTTGGCATGTTTTTGCAGTGGCTGGTACCAGTTGTTCCTTTCCATGTTTAGTGCTTCCTTCAGGCGTTGTTGTAAGGCAGGCCTGATGGTGGCAAAATCTCTCAGCATTTGCTTGTCTGTAAAGGATTTTATTTCTCCTTCAGTTATGAAACTTTGGCTGGAGATGAAACTCTGGGTTGAAAATTCTTTTCTTTAAGAATACTGAATATTGGTCCCCACTCTCTTCTGGCTTGTAGAGTTTCTGCTGAGAGATCCACTGATGGACTTCTTTGTGGGCAACCTGACCTTTCTCTCTGGCTGCCCTTAACATTTTTCCTTCGTTTCAACTTTGCTGAATCTGACCATTATGTGTCTTGTAGTCGCTCTTCTCAAGGAGTATGTTTGTGGTGTTCTCTGTATTTCCTGAATTTGAATGTTGGCCTTCCTTGCTAGGTTGGGGAAGTTCTCCTGAATAATATCCTAAAGAGAGTTTTCCAACTTGGTTCCATTCTCCCCATCACTTTCGGGTACACCAATCAGACATAGATTTGGTCTTTTCACAAAGTCCCATATTTCTTGGAGGCTCTGTTCATTTCTTTTTACTCTTCTTTTCTCTAAGTTTCTCTTCTTGCTTCATTTCACTCATTAGATCTTCAATCAGTGATACCCTTTCTTCCACTTGATCAAATCAGCTACTGAAGCTTGTGCATGCATCACATAGTTCTCATGCCATGGTTTTCAGCTCCATCAGGTCATTTAAGGTCATCTCTACATGATTTATTCTCATTAGCCATTTGTCTAATCTTTTTTCAAGGTTTTTAGCTCCTTTGTGATGGGTTTGAACATCTCCTTTAGCTCGGAGAAGTTTTTTATTACCATTCATCTGAAGCCTTCTTCTCTCAACTCATCAAAGTCATTCTCCATCCAACTTTGTTCCATTGCTGACAAGGAGCCATGTTCCTTTGGAGAAGAGGTGCTCTGATTTTTAGAATTTTCAGTTTTTCTGCTCTGGTTTCTCCCCATCTTTGTGGTGTTATCTACCTTTGGTCTTTGATGATGGTGATGTACAGATGGGGTTTTGGTGTGCATATCCTTTCTGTTTGTTAGTTTTCCTTCTAACAGTCAGGACCTTCCAC